TGGTCCTACTTAGCTTCCAAGATCAGATGGGAATATGGGGCCTCCTGTGTGCCTTCAGGTCTCCTATCTACTTATGGAGAGAGACCCCATGGATTTTGTAGGGCTTTCCTGTCCAAGAAATCCTCCTTAGAGCTGGTTTTGCCAGTTCCTTCCTCTGAAATACAGCCTTACCGTGCTTGGTATTTGTTGACGGCCTTCCATCCAGGTGCTAACCGAGGCTGACCCTGCTTAGCTCACAAGATCAGATGGGATCTGGTGTCTTTTGGGATGTGTGTGCATACATGCCTTCAAGTTGCCTGTTGACTTATGGCCACCCCATGGATTTTGTAGGGTTTTCCTATCCAAGGAATCCTCCTCGGAGGTGTTTTTCCCAGTTCCTTCCTCGGAAACAGAGCATCCAGCACTCAGTACTCCTTGGCGATCTCCCATCCAAAGACTACACAGGGGTGACCCTGCTTAGCTTCCAAGGCCAGACACAGGATCTGGTGCCTTGTCTATATGCGCCTCATGTCTTAGAATGGAGGAGACCCCACGACTTTTCTTAGGCAAGGAGACCTCAGAGGTGCTTTTGGCAGTAGTCCTTTCCTCTGAAATAGAGCCTCCAGCACCTGGGATTCATTGGTGGCCTCCCATCCAAGGATTATCCAAGGCTGACCCTGCTCAGCTTCCAAAATCAGACCATTAGGGCATTTCTGCAGCCATGCGTGTGTGTGTTTGTGGATGTGGATGTACACACGCCTATGTGGGAGCCATGGGAAAGGAAGCCCAGACTCGGGTTGAATTACCGAAAGTGGAAATCCAGCATCCTCTTCACAGACTCTGGTTGATGTTGCAAAAGGAGCAGCCTTCCACAGGAGCAGGGTTTGGGGATAATGGTGCTTCTCTAAAGCTCACCTGGGGAGGGAAGCCACAGGTGGCAATGGAGGAAGGAAGGAAGGAGTCTGCAGGCGCTGGAGGAGGAAGAGGAGGCTGCTTGGAGCCGGGCAGTGGCCCTCCTTGGCCCTCAGATTGGGAGGAAGCCCAGGAGGGGCCTGGCTGCTGGATGATGGGTGAGGCAGTGGGATTCTCTCTGCTGCGCAGGGCCACTTCCTGGGGCTCTGGTGTCCAAGGAGGGGCAGTGGCCCCTGGGCAAGACCCCTGGAGGCTCGGGAGAGACTGGGCTGGATGAGAAGTGACCGCTTTCAGTTCTGTGTAGGGATGGGAAAAGGTGGAATGTTAAAGCAGTACAGTGTGGCCTAATGGTTTGAGTGCTGGACTTTGACCCTGGAGACCAGGCTTCAGATCCCAGCTCAGCCCTGGGACCCCGTGAGTGACCTTGGGCAAGTCACACACTCTCAGCCTCAGGGCAAACCTCCTCTAGACAAGAAAACCCTAGGATAGGGTTGCTATAAGTTGGAAGGAAGGAAGGCGCACAACACAGTCTGACACACACAGCAGCACTGATGGCGGTGGTGGGAGCCAGGGGGCTAATCCCTAGCCTTCCCTTCCCTGCAATGCTTCCTTGGCCACAGATGTGGCCTTTGGCTTGACCGTCCGAAGAAGGCGGCCAGAAACGTGGGCCCCTCTGGAGGTCTGTTTGGGAGAGCCAAGGCTGGGGTCCCAATCC